GAAATCACTTAAATCATCCCCAAACCATCCTCCCAGCCCCACCCCAGTCCATGGAAAAATTGTCTTCCATGAAACCAGTCCCTGGTGCAAAAAGGTTGGGGACCACTGATTTGGGGCATCTCTATTATCCGCTTATAGTCATTCCTCTCCATGTATGTTATATTAAGTTTAATCTAGACCTCTTTCATGTTGCACTTTGTAATATCCAACTGCTCATTCTTCCTGATGTACAAACCATCCCTTATATCTTCCAGGGGAGGGGACTGAGACATGAGCTAGTTAAGGGAGGGGACGAAAGCTAGTCAGGTGAGGTGCTCAGAATAGGGAAGTTCTTTCTGGGGAACACTCCAAAGAGGTCTGTTACCCTTGGTGACCCCAAAAGACTGTTTAAGATAGTACGGCTATTATAAGCTGCAAAGGATATCAGGTTGACTACTGGCCACAGACCTGCCAGCAGCCCTACCTGCAACTGAGCCAAACCACCAACCCCGTTTCTTACAGGCCCTTATGGTGCCTCTCTCTAGCAAAATACTTTCGCAAATCATTTCCAAGTACATGGGTAATTTTGCATTCTCAGTGTCACTTTTCTTTGCATTTTTCACAGGCAAAAACTTTATGGCTGTACTGCTGCGATCCACTGAGGGGGAAGGGAGCAAACACTAGGCACAGTAGTAAGCTTAAAACAAACTTATTGATTCGAGGTGGAGATGAATTAAAGTATAATGTGGTGATAAAGTGAAGATACTAATGTCAGACTGATTGCTATGTGACTTTGAACAATTTTACTTTATTTAGTTGTTCAACTAATTTCTATTTTTTTTTTTTTTTTTAGTAGAGACAGGGTCTCGTTCTTGTTCAGGCTGGTCTCGAACACCTGAGTTCAAATGATCCTCTTGCCTCGGCCTCCCAGAATGCTAGGATTACAGGCGTGAGCCACCATGCTCGGTCAACTTTGAACAATTTATTAAACTTCTAGGCTTCAGTTTCCTCATGTATAATAATTGTACTTACTTTGTAAACTGCTGGGATATACTACTGTGAGGTTTAACTGCAAAAATGCATGCAAGTGCTTAGCCTTACACAAAATAAATGCTTTAAGATGGTTTGTTGCTATTATTTGGTTTTTTTCATCAACCCTTCCAGTGCGGCATTACCATCCTCATTTTACAGATGAGGAAACTATGGCACAGGTGGTACCAGGAACAGAATCTAGAACTGGCCAACTCTGGAGCTCAAACTCTTCCTGCTGACTGGAAAGAGCCTTCATGTTTTATGACTTCAGAATCAAAAGCCCTAGGCTTGACTATCAGAGGACAATGAAATTCTAGGTCTTGTACTAGTGATTACGAGATGAAGGGAACCTCTATCATATGAGAAGGGGGGTGAAAAAATTGGCTGCCAAGCCAAAGGGCCTACACCAGGGCTTTGAAAACAGACTGAAAGACATAAGGAGATGGTTAGGGCAAAAAATCAGCAACAATGATTCCCAGTTTGAGAATGTGGCTAAAGTGCTACGTCAAGGAGTCAGGAAAGTAGACTGACAACATAACTTCATGAATGGCAGCCATGCTTGCCATTCCACAAAATAAACATATGCAGTGTCTTTGTCATTAGGTTTGGGAATCCTAGCATTTAACATCTATCTCTTGTAAAGACATAATATTAAAAGCAAAACTGACATTGTTCTCCTGCCATTCAACATAAACATGTATATCACATCCCACAGTGAGAAAAACAAACCTAAAAACACTTCTTACCTGAGACAAATTAAAAAAAACCAGCTGAGCACCCTGCTTAGATCTGGTCCTCAAAATAAACCATATCTTAAACATTTTTTTCTTTTGAGACAGAGTCTCATTCTGTTGCCCCAGCTAGAGTACAACGACGTCATCATAGCTCACTGCAACCTCAAACTCCTTGGCTCACGCAATCCTCCTGCCCCAGTCTCCTGAGTACCTGGGACTACAGGTGGGTGCCACCATGCCGGCTAATTTTTCTTTCTTTTTTTTTGTGTAGAGACTGGGTCTGGCTCTTGCTCAGGCTGGTCTCCAACTCCCGGCCACAAGCAATCTTCCTGCCTCAGCCTCCCAGAGTGCTAGGATTACAGATGTGAGCCACTGTGCCTGTAATCCTACCACTCTGGGAGGCCAAGGCCATACCTTAAACATTTCCTGTAAATTATCAATGCATGGAGATAAAGCTGTTGTGAATAAGATAACAAAGAGAGAAAAACTTTTCCATTATGAACACACAAAAGTAAATTTGGTATTCTTCATAATATTGCGGTTTTTTCCATTTAAAAACTTGTTCTGGGCCAGGTGCGGTGGCTCACGCCTATAATCCTAGCACTCTGGGAGGCCAAGGCGGGAGGATGGTTCAAAGTCAGGAGTTCCAAACCACCCCAAGCAAGAGCGAGACCCCCTCCCCCCCGCTACTAAAAATAGAAAGAAATTAATTTGCCAACTAAAAATATATAGAAAAAAATTAGCCGGGCATGGTGGCTGGTGCATGCCTGTAGTCTCAGCTACTTGGGAGGCTGAAGCAGGAGGATTGCTTGAGCCCAGGAGTTTGAGGTTGCTGTGAGCTAGGGCTGACAGCACCACACTCCAGCCTCAGCAACAGAGTGAGAAAAAAAAAAAAAAAACTGTTCTGTTTATTTGATAAGGCAGTCATTGGGAGGCCTTGCCCCTCCTTGCAAGTAAATTTCTTTTCCTTTTTACATGTCTTTGTATGAGTTGTTCTTTCACAGGAGCATATTAAAAGCTTTGAAAAGTCCTACAGTTAAAGAATTTTACTTTAGCATTTCCCAAACTTATTTAGAGGCCGTACAGTCTATGAGAACATGAAATACCTCTGCACTTAGAAGCTGAATGACCTGGGACAAGTCACTTCAATGCTGAGAGTCAGTTTCACAATCTGTGGAACAGTGTTGGCTGCTGGAATATATACCACAGTATTGACTAATAGAGCACCTAAAAGTGCCCTCAGCACATTTTAAGCCCCCCCTCCCAAATATTATTACTTCAGAAGTGATCCCTTCTCAACATTCCAATCCACTTGGTTTATATGAAAGTGACATTCTGCAGGATACCCTTGTTAGGAAACAGAATTAAAGCTTTCAGGCCAATCTATCTCCAGGTGTACGAGGAAAAAACCAAGATGATCCTGATTTAAGGATCTTGGTACTTGTTCCTGCACTAAGATGTGAAATTCTGGGCAAGCCTCAAGTCTTCCTAAGCATAAAGTTTCCTTATTTGTAAAATCAGATACTACACAGAGTTGAGATTCAATTATAAAGCATTACAAAAATGTGCACTGTTTTTTTGGGCACATCCAAAAAACAAAAGGAGCAGGTGATCAGCTATGGGAATGATAGAATTAAACTGTAAAGCAAAGAGGGTTTTCGAGGTAGCCACAATCTGCTTTATAGTACACAATGACCTAGACACACTTTCTCCAACAGGGGAAACTTTACACAACCAAAAATAAGTAAATACACATACACTCGTCTTCATAAAAGACCTTCTAGTATAAATAACCTAGTAAAAGTCTCTTTACAGACACTCTGGGCAAATTTCTGACAATTGCTTAATATAAGCCACCTGGGCCTTGGGTAACATGGCTGAATAATTAATGAACACTAATGCTAACAGAAAACATTTTACGTAGCCATTTCTTAATTATTCATACTAATGAACAAAAGTAACAATACAGAGATGAACCTTAAACTGTTTATTACATAATCAAACTATACAACTTTTTAGCAATTTTTCCCACACAGGTTTAACTAAAACCAATTATTAAAATGAAATTTGTATTTTCCAAGCGAACAACTCAATAGAACTATATCCCTAATACCAGTAAGCACCAAGCTTATCAAGAAATGAGAGTGTGGTCGGAGGCTGCCTGTAATCCTAGCACTCTGGGAGGCCGAAGGGGGAGGACAGATTGAGGTCAGGAGTTCAAGATCAGCCTGAGAAAGAGCCGGACCCCCTCTCTACTAAAAACAGAAAAATTAGCAGGGCATCGTGGCGTGCGCCTGTAATCCCAGCTACTCAGGAGGCTGAGGCAGGAGGATCGCTTGAGCCCAGGAGTTTGAGGTTGCTGCATGGCACTCTGGCCCAGGTGGCAGAGCGAGACTCCATCTCAAAAAAAAAAAAAAGGGAAAAGGAAGGAAAGAAAGAAAAGACAGACAGACATGAGGGTGTTATACAACCAAATTATTTCTATTTCACAGTAGCAGCCACAGCGTAGCTACCTTGTGTTCTATAACATAATATCCATTACTGTTATATTTTTCCTACTAAATGGCCCTCTCAATAAGATAAGGGTATCACTTAGCCTCTTCCGGTCTGTTTCCTGCACTGTAAAATGGGGATAATAACTGCTTAGTACTGTTACGGTAAAGTGTAGTGATAATGAATATAAAGGACTTGGAAATATGCAGGCGCTTAACAGATCTTCAGGAAATGCTACCTGCCATTATTTTCCACACAGTAATTCTTACTTGCTAACTCTCTGCAACTTCTGGTTGTATCTGGATTCTTCAGACTCCTGGGAAGCGAACTCAGGGCCCCAGCTTCTTTGAGGCTCCCTCGTGGTATTCCTATTTGTAAATGGCCTCTCGGTGTATTCACTCAACCCAAATCTCCTTTTCCAATTAAACTGTGAGCCCCGAGAGCCCTCCTCCCAGGACCCCGCGCACGCTGCACGGCCCTGGCAGCAGTCTCCCTCCTTCCCGCCCCCAGGGGCTGCGCTTCAAGCTCGCGGCGCGGCCCCCCGTGCTGGCCTCGGTCCCGAGACCCCGTCCTGCACCCGCCGGATCCGCAGCTCTAGTCGCAGCGCCAGCTCTGCCTCGAAAAGCCCCATGACGAACAGCTGAGTAACTTTCCGCTCCAGCCTCAGTTTCCCTGGAGGCAGGACGGAGGCGCACCGCCAGACACCAGGGCCCGGGAGAGCTGCCCGCAGTGGCCTGGCGCTCCCAGCCCCTGCGCACTGACCTGCAAGTGACCTGCTTGGTGCTCATGGTGGTTGGGATGCAGGGCAGTCGTCGCTCCGCCGCCTCCAGCTACCGCCACCGCCGCCTCGGCCTTGGCCCGGCTCTTCCAGCGCAGCCGCGTCACGCCGGCGCGCACCGCCCCCAGTGCATCACCTTTGTAGCGCCGGCTGGAAACCTCGGCGCCGTCACAATTGGTTCCGCACCAGGGGAGGGACCGGCGGCCTCCCCGTCCCGCACTCAGCGTCCGGCATTTCCAAGCCTGCGGAGCGGAACCTGCTGGCATCCTAGTCCTGTCAGTCTTACCCCGAAGCCCACAGTTAGTCGCTACGATTCTGCCCCCATCTCCGAGAGCATCCTTTAGCAATTCTCGCCTCCCTCGAGGCACTTCTCCCCCACCCCCACCCCGAGGCAGGCTCCCACCTCTGCTCCGCGTACCTCAATTGCAAATGCTCCTACCCGTCCGAACCTGCACTCGCCAGGGCCCCTCCTCAGGCCCCGCCCCGTCTGTTCCCGCCAGACCTCGCTCCCGCGTAAGGAAATTCCTCGGCCCTCTCCCAGCTGCTCTTTTTCAAAAATCTCTACTCCCACCTCGAGTTTTACTCCTCATTTTCTTTCCTGGCATGCCTCCGCCGTTCATCTTCCGTTTCCTATGGCGGAAACCCCAAAAGTTATTCTTGACACTTCCCTCTAGTTCTCTATATCCTGCAGATCCTGCTCCTAAGCTTGCATCCAATGCGTCCTCCGTCCATTTCCACCGTCATGGTTCGTCTAAGCAACCATTCCTCCTTGCCAGGCCATGCAATAGCCTTTTAACTGGCCTTCCCGCTTCCAGTTCTAACCTCTTCTAGTCTATCGTCACACGAATTCTATTTTTAAAACATATCGATTCGTGTCATTCACCTCCTTTCAATGATTTTCCGTTGCTTTTTAAATTTTTTTACTTTAAAGAAATTGAGATATGCACAACATAAATGCACAAGACACATATATGCCTCTATGAATTTTTGCATATGCATGCACTTATGAAACAACCACCCAGATGAAGATAAAGAATATCAACACCCAGGAGGCTCCCTTAAAGCACTCTCAGTCAATGCCTCCCAAAGGTAGCTGCTTATTTTCACCCCATCACTATTGTCTTGCTCGTTCTTGACCTTCATATAAATGAAATAATTCAGTATGTACCCTTTTGTCTGCCTTCTTTTTCCTAACATTGTATCTGTCAGATATTTCCATGTTGTGTATAGCTGTATGCTGTTATTCTACTTTGCTCTAAAAATACTGAGTCTTCTAATGAATGAACATGGTATATATTTCCATTACTTAGAACTTTTGCAATATTTCTCAGGAATTTAGGAGTATTTTGGAAATTTTGTAGTTTCCAGTATATAGGTCTTTAATAACTTTTATTAGATTTATTACTAGGTATCTAGATGAGTTTTTAAAACAATATTGCACTTATAATTTATAACATTTGATCCATGCAATTCATGTTCACAAAATTACATACTGCTTATTATAAAAATCCCCTTTATTTCATTCTTTATGTAATACATTCACTATATGAATACTATTATGTTCAAATATGAAAAAAAGTATAAGGTGAAAAGTCCCAGTCCTCTATCAATTTAGTTCCCACCTCATCAAAAACAGAAACAATCGAAAAACCCAAAACCTAACCACTGTTATAAATTTTGTACATATCTTTCCAGGTTTTTTACATATATATTATATATATATATATATACACACATATACAAGTAAACAAAAATATTTTTCTCCCTTTTTATAGAAAAGATAACATACACACTGTTCTGCACAGTGTATATAAACAGTGAAGTTTTCCATATCAGTACATAGAGCCTCTTCCTCCTTTTGTAGAAACTGTATAGTTATAATATTCCATTGTATGCCTATGCCATAATTTATTTCACCAGCCTTGTACGGGTGGCCCTCAGGGTGTCCATGCTATTAACACTGGACCAATGAGAACATATTCTGTATTGCTTCACACAAGCTGTACCCAATTCACTGTTTTCTGAATTCAGTGTTGCTGAATTACCATGTCCTGCCCCACACTTGGACATCGATACCCTGGTTTCCTCGTCCTCAGGAGATCATTTGCTGGCAAAGAATGAAGGGTGTCTTCCAGCCCACAGCAAGTGCACATTAAACTTTCACATCTGCTTGCTGACTACCAGCTCCCGATCTCAACCCCTTCAGAAAAGCAATTCTACTACCAAACATACAGGACAAAAAAATATGTCAGAGGGAGGCGGGTGAAAAAACTGATAAAATGGGAGAGGACAGGTGGTTCCCAGCTGGACATTAAAATGGACATTTGGGTGCAAAGATAAGGAGACTCTTTGCACAAAGGTTGGCCAAGAGTCTTGCAAAACTTTTTTTTTTCTTTGTGTGGCTGTCTGTCCATAGATAGGGTTTTTGATGCTATTTTAAATTTTCCTAAATTTCCTAATTATTGCTTGTGTACAAAAATACATGATCTTTGTATATTGACCTGAGATCCAGCCCCATGATAAATTTTGAATTCTAATGGTTTCTTTGTAGATTGTTTTTCACTTTCTACATACAATCATGACATCAGCAAATTAAAGCTTTACTTCATTTTCAATCATTATATATTTTGTTTCTTTTTCTTGCCTTATTGTACTGTCTAGAACCTTCAGTATAATGTTAAAGAGAAGTGGTAAAAGTGGTAGTAGTGTATGTCTTGTTTTTTTTCTGAATTCAGGGAAAATAGTTAATATTTTGCCATTAATTAAAATGTTAGCTCTAGATTTTTTAAAACTATCATCAAAGTTTTGTTCTTTCTAGTTTTCTTATATTTTTATCATAAGCACATCTTGATTTTTATCAAATGCTTTTTTGCATCTATTGAGAAAACAATATTGTCTTTCCCCTTTATTCTATTATTGTATGGAATTATATTGTTTGATTTTTTTTTTTTTTTTTTTGAGACAGAGTCTCACTTTTGTTGTCCAGGCTAGAGTGAGTGCCGTGGTGTCAGCCTAGCTCACAGCAACCTCATACTCCTGGGCTCAAGCAATCCTTCCGCCTCAGCCTCCCAAGTAACTGGGACTACAGGCATTCGCCATCATGCCCGGCTAATTTTTTCTGTATATATTAGTTGGCCAATTAATTTCTTTCTATTTATAGTAGAGATGGGGTCTCGTTCTTGCTCAGGTTGGTTTTGAAACCCTGACCTTGAGCCATTGGCCCGCCTCGGCCTCCCAGAGAGCTAGGATTACAGGCATGAGCCACCTCGCCTGGCCAATTTTTAATGTTAAACCTACCTAATTCCTCAGATAGCCCCTAATGGCCATGATATATTATTTTTTTCTATAAATCACCGGATTCTGTTTGTTAAAATTGTATTTAGGATTTTTGCATCCTGTTCATGAGAGATACTAGTCTGTAGTGTTCCTTTCTTACAATGTCCATGCCAGGTTTGGGTATGTGAGATATGCTGGGCCTCATAAAATGAGTGTGGACAACTTTCTTCCTTTCTATTCTCTGGAAAAGTCTGTTTAATATAGGTATTAATTTTTCCCTTAAATGTTTGGAAGAATTTACCATGGAAGCCATCTCAGCCTGCGGTTTACTTTATAGGAAGATTTTTATTTAAAGATTTAATTGCTTTCTTATATATAGGACTATTCATATTTTATCTTTTTGTGTCAGGTTTGGAAAGCTCTTTTTTTTTTTTTTTTTTTTTGAGACAGAGTCTCATTCTGTTGCCCAGGCTAGAGTGCCGTGGTGTCAGCCTAGCTCACAGCAACCTCAAACTCTTGGGCTCAAGCAGTCCTACTGCCTCAGCCTGCCGAGTATCTGAGACTACAGGCATGCACCACCGTGCCTAGCTAATTTTTCTATATATTTTTAGTTGGCCAATTAATTTCTTTCTATTTTCAGTAGAGACGGAGTCTTGCTCTTGATCAGGCTGGTTTCGAACTCCTGATCTTGAGCTGTCCTCCCGCCTTGGCCTCCCAGAGTGCTAGGATTACAGCCGTGAGCCACTTCGCCCAGCCAGAAAGCTCTTTTTTATTTCAAGTAATTAGTCCATTTCATCTAAATTGATAAATTTATTTATTTTTATTATTATTTAGAGATAGGGTCTCATTCTCTTGCCCAGGATGGAGTGCAGTGGCACCATCATAACTTATTGTACCCTTGAGCTCTTGGGCTCAAACTATCCTCCTGCCTCACCCTCCAGAATAGCTAGGACTACAAGCATGCACCACCATACCTGGGCAATTAAAAAAAATATTTTTTTAGAGATGGGGTCTCACTATGTTGCCCAGGCAACTCTATGTTTGCCCTGATCTCAAATTTCTGGCCTCAAGTGATTCTTCTGCATTGGCTTCCCAAAGTGCTTGGAATATAGGAATAAGTCACTGTACCCAACCCTAAATTGATTAATATAATAAAGTTGATCATAATACCTTCTTTTTTATGACTGTAGGATCTGTAATGTCTCATTTTCATTTCTTGATATTACTCATTGGTGTTTTATTCTTTTTCTAATCAGTCACTAAAAGTTTATCAATTGTATTAATCTTTTCACTGAACAAGCTTTTGGCTTTGTTCATTTTCTTTATTGTACATCCATCCATTTTCTATTTCAATGATTTCTGTTTTTATCTTTATTATTCCTTTTTTCTATGTTCTTTGAGTTCAAATTGCTCTTGTTGTCTGGCTTCTTGAGATGGAAGCTTATGTCATTGATTTTCAAATCTTTTTCTTTTCTGAGTATTTAAAGCTGTACTTTTCTCTGAAAGCACATTTATCATTATTCTAAAAGTTCTTATATCATCTTTTCCTTACCATTCAGTTTAAAATATTTTCTAATTGCCATTATAATTTGTTCTTTGACTCATAAGTTATTTATTTAATAAGTGTCCTGATTAATTTCCAAACTGAGAGTTTTTCTAGTTATTTTTTTCTTATTTCTAATGTGATCCCAATGTGGAATGGTCTACTCTCCTTTAAGTTTGATCAACATTTGCTTTATATATTTTGAAGCTAAGTTTTTAGGTTCAAACAAATTTAGAATTGATCTACCTTCTGTTCTGTCAAAACTTTATCATTTAAAAATGTTCCTCTTTCGGCCAAGCGCGGTGGC